CTGCTTTCCATCGAGCATTGATCCTAGACCTTGCAAGGTAAGCTTTGGTAGAAACCGCAGCTCTCGAACCCCGCTCTCGTCGACTGACAACAGATCTAACCAGACAAGACCCGTAAATACCGCCCAACATGCCTCAGGTAAGCAGAATATCTCTTCCCTTTCCTCGACGGGCAAAAGTGGGAATCTCATGCCTTGCAGATCACAACGCTCCTCTTCGACTGCGACAACACGCTCGTCCTCTCGGAGGAGCTCGCCTTCGAGGCGTGCGCGGACCTCATCAACGAGATCTGCAGCAGCCGCAACATCGAGCAGCGCTTCACGGGGGAGTCGCTCATCGTCGAGTTCGTCGGCCAGAACTTCCGCGGCATGATGCTCGGCCTGCAGAAGCGCTACGGCTTCGAGATGACCGACGACGAGCTCGAGACGTACGTCCGCCGCGAGGAGGACGCCGTCATCGCCAAGCTCAAGGCCTCGCTGAAGCCATGCCCCGGCGTCGACGAGCAGCTGGAGCAGCTGCAGAAGGGAGGCAAGTACAAGCTCAGCGTCGTCTCGTCGTCGGCGAAGCGCAGGGTGTGGGCGTCCGTGGTCAAGGTCGGGCAGGACAAGTACTTTTCCGAGGAGGAGACCTTCAGCGCGGCGACGTCGCTGCCGAAGCCCACGAGCAAGCCCGACCCGGCCATCTACCTGTGGGCCATGGAGAAGCTGGGCAAGAAGCCCGAGGAGTGCGTCGCGATTGAGGACTCCAAGAGCGGCACGCTCAGCGGCACCCGCGCCGGCATCAAGGTCATTGGGTATGTCGGGCCGTACCCGCAGGAGAGGAAGGCCGAGATGGAAAAGGTGCTGCGGGATGCTGGGGCGGTGTTCATCATGCAGGAGTGGAGCGAGTTCCCTGATGTCCTGGCCAAGATTGAGAATGGGAGTGTTTGACTAGCCGGCGGTGAGAAGGCGTCTCTGTGAGAAGGCCGTTTCCTTTGTGATTGCTCCGGCGGCATTCTGGCCGGAGGGTCTCGTTGAGACACCTACACCTACATAGAGGTAGAATTTCGCTTTAGACGAATTCATCTCCTATCCATGAGGAAGCTGTTCACGCTTTGCAGAGTGGCCCTGTTAGCGTTGGCTTCAGGGTACGCGGTCATGATTGTTCCCAGCCTGACGCGGATCATGTCCTTGTTGAAGAAAGTCTTCGAGTCTGCCGCGCGGTAGTTGCCCTCCTGATCGAAACACCAGCAATAGACGGCCAGCGCCGCACTAATGGCCAGGTCCTTGCCCGTCTCGCACGCGAACACGACGCTGCCGTCCCGGTTCTCGCCAAAGAAGCGCGAGACAAAGGCGCAGACGTCGGGAAGTGCCTGGCGGAGGTTCCGGCTGGCGACCTTGTGCTTCCCGAGGCCGACCTGCATGTATCTCGGGGATTTCACCCACGTCTCGCGCTGTGTCACGTCTTGTGTGAGTGCGACCCTGCACACTGCCGCTGCGTCCTCAGGTGAATCAGAGTCATCCTCGTCCAGGGGGAGAGGGCACACGGAGATTTTGGGGGCGACCTCTTTCGGGGCCATGGTCCTGACGGTCTGCTTGCTTCTGGCGACGAGGTCCGTGACGAGAGCCGGCAGGTCCGCCTCGGGCGCCGAGAGGAGGGTTTCCACGTTGGACCAGAACACGTCCGCAGTGAGACCGAGGGCCCAGTTCTCCGTGTCGTCGCCGGCGCCCTGAATGTAGCCCGCCTCTGAGAGCTCCGTGCCGGCGACGCGGCGGGAGGAGGTGAGGCAGATGACGGGGTGGTGGTCGTCAAAGACCGTGGACGTTTCCGAGAGGGACGTTTCCTGGGTGATCCAGAAGGGGCGGAGGGGCTTGGAGACATGGGCTCTGGCGGCGGAGAGGTCGAGGGAGAGGGCTTTGAGGGATGTGAAGAAGGAGGGAAGGAGGGCTGCGATTTGGGAGTGTTCTGAGGCCGAGACGACGTTGGGAGGGGTGTGGAGGAGGGATGATTTAGGATGGTCCGGGAAGAGGGCCATGTTGAGGACGGTGCACCATACGGGGATGGTTTTGCTGAGAGCATCGGGCATTCCTGAGGATGTTAGTGAGAATAGAAGCACATGAGAATAGAATCTTACTTTTGCCGCGGCGGGTTGAGTCTACGATGATACAGCTGGCGTTGTTAGTTTTGGCGCTCACATATCGTATAAGTGCAACGCAGAGCCTCACCCGTCATGTTTTCCTATAATTTCAAGCAAGTGCAGATTCAACCTGCGGGTGCTGAACTTCCAAGCGTTGGTGTGGCCGTCGGTACTCTTGAAATAGGCGCTCGCCGCCTTCTCCTCGGGCCGAACGTACCAGCTCCCGCACCGTTCATTAGCGACGAGAGGGCGGTTATAGCACGTTGCGACCTCCTTCACGAACTCCGCATCTTGCTTGCAGGAGCGCAGGCGGTTCGCGATGGACAGGTTGGACCGCTTCAGGTCCGTGAGGATGTGCGAGAAGTTGTGGTTGGCGGTCGTCGGGAAGATGATGTCCGACAGGGCCGGTGACGTAGTCTGGGCCATGGCTTTGTGCAGGTTGCAGGGGTTTGTGATGGCTGTAGGTGAGGGATGTTGTGCGTGGCGAGGGGACCTTTGGTGTTGAAGCTTCACGGAAATTTCATGTGTGGCAGTGTCGTGAGGCAGATGCACTGTGTTAATGTGGGGTTTCTATGGCAAATACAGTACACTCAGCACTGTCGACGTAAAGTTTCCAGCGATTCCCAACGCAAGTCCATAGTGAATTGAAAAAAGACTGAACACGGAATCTCGTAAGTTCAATCAATTGGCTGATGAGGGATGATGGTCAGGGGTGAGAAACAAGTGCGATGTCGCCTTAGACATCCAAGAAGCCTCCTGGTCTGTGCAAAAATTCCGGTGTATTCAGCCGCAAGCTAGGGCATACTACTGACTGGCATGCATCAGATGTCTGTCGTTCAAGAAGATTCCGAACGATTGCGCCAGAGCTGACAGTCATGTTAGACGGTCGTAGACGGACATAATCGGGAATGCCGGGCAGTCGAAAAGCATATCATAAGGCTCAACCCGGCAGCACATATTGACAACGCGCAATCACGGTGGCTATGCCGCGGAAGCCAAGCAGCGGGACGACGTTCGCAGGCAGCCGGATTGTATGGAGATGTCTTTTATCGCAGCAGCGGGAGGGACGTTGGGCGGCAAGACTTACGCCATTGTATCCACCGCGACTCTATTTCTGCGCAGGGAACTCAGTGCGCACCCAATGACTGCTGTCGTTGGTGTCAACCGAGTGCCAATGTGCAAAAAGCTTGCCGCGATGGATGCACCCTGGGGTCCGTGAGTTTGTAGGCCTAGGTACGGAGTAAGCTGATGGAGAAGAACTGAAGTGAGATGCCCGGATCTCGCATCCATCCGTTTCGGGGGTTGTCTTTCTTTTCTTCTGGCCGCCTCTTCTCCCTCAGGTCCCTCGTACGAGACAACAGCGTTTGTGTCCAGGCAACGCGAGACTGGGTGTTTCCAGTTTGCGGGGGAGTGAGGTCGATGTCGTATCTGCCAGCCGGGCGCCAGCGGACGACGCCCGGTCCATTTGCTGACGCTGTCGCTGTTGGTCGACCGACGACTGGTTGAGGTGAGGTGACTGGCTCTGCCGCGGCCGTCCAAGGAAAAACGGAGGTTCCATTGTAGCCCCGCCGCTGCAGGTTGTCATCATTGACGATCTTCCCCCTTGCCTCGCCTCCGCGCATCACCCCAGAAACCAGAAAGGAAAGCCTCGACAGTGCGGCAAGGCACAGCAGGAAAATCAGGTAATCAAGGCTTGGAAACGGCGGCGACGGTTGCTACGGGCGAGAAACGGCGGCCGCGATAATGGTCGGCTTGTACCAAAGTACACCCTATCTTCTGTTTCGTTCATCAATCCTTTCAACCTACCCTCGAGCGTCTTACCGACGGTACCTGTTCTTCCCGCCGTAGGGCCAAAGGCAAAAAATAGGACGAAAGAGAAGGCGAACTGCCCCCCGTCCAAAGACTGAACTATCTGCTCGGGAGGCGTGGCTTGCAGGGGTCTGATGCTCAGCTGCTCGCGGCTCGAGGGCTGGGATTCGCTGCCTATGCAGCAGTGGCGCAGTGAAACCCAGCGCTTCAGTGGCTTGGTTCAACCGAAGTCGCAGCCTGTCCGCGTTGCCGTCTGCGCTGCGCTGCGCTCTGCTGCGTGGGCAGCGCCCCGATCCCGTGGCAGCCGTCCCATAATTCCGCGTGCTGGGCTGCATTTACGCAGCACTAGCGAAAGAGAGCCTCCCTGGAATCAACAAGAAAGACTCAACTCATGATGACGGGACGCTGCAACGTAAAACACGCTGGACACTCACTGGCCGGGAGGAGCTCCGTGGGCCCACCCCACTGCCGACGGCCACACTGCACCCAGTGCGCTCAGGTCCACTAACACTGCGAGAGGTAACGACTCGTTGCCCACTGAATCCACGTCTCGTCACTGCCGCAGTTCAACGCCCAGTCCAGCCGGGGCTGTTTCGTTTTGAACAAGAGAAAAAGGCGGACGCGTCCCCGACGACCACAGTCCCAGAAGTTGCTGCTGCGCCTGATTGACTTTTCTCTCTTCCACCGTGTCCCCATCCTTCTGAACCTTTCTCTCCCGTTCAACATCACCATCGTCGCCGACAGCATCGTCACCCTCTTTGGTCCCAGTATCACTCATTTGAGAGCGGCCACTGCATCATTAAAACGGTCCTCATCTCCCACCTGATTGGCCACCCCACCTGGTCCTGCAAACTTGGGTCGTCTCGCCAAACCCGTTGCCGAGCCGGATTGAGTTTGATCTTTATTTAGTATTAAAAAAACAGCAGGGGAGCTGAAGCCCGATAGCTGCTCACAACCTCCCCCAAACCACCACCTCCAGGCTTCCCCTTTCGAACGAATCGATCGCCAAACGCAGCTTGTTCAACACTGCGAGATCAACCGAACACCTATACCGAACCGACCGACCGAACGACGACAATGTTCGGAAACCTCGACTTCGACCCCGAGTACGTCCCCGGCGTCAAGCTGGGCCTGCACATCTTCCAGTTCATCCTGTCCTTCGTTATCTGGGGCTTGGAAATTGCCGTTTTCAGAGCCGACAATGCAAAGATCGTAGGCAACAATGGCTGGACTTTTGGAGTGGTCAGTAATCACCCTGATGGTACGACGGGCTACATCTCGAAGCGTGCATGCTGACAGTTTTGCGACACAGTGCTTCCTCTCTATTCCTGCGTGGATATACCTAATTATGGCGCCCCGTTGGCCGAGAACCCGAAAGCTTGCGAACCCCTACGCCATGGTCATCGTTGATGCCGTCTTCACCATCATCTGGCTGTCCGCTTTCGCCAGTCAGGCTGCCTACAACACCGCCAACCAGTGCGGTGATGCTTGCAACCTCAGCAAGGCCATTGTCGGTCTTGGCGTTTTCGTGACGTAAGTTTCTGCGACGCATGCTTGCCAGTCCTGTTGCTAACGGCAGTCCAAGCCTCTTGTTCGGCGTCAGCACCTTCGTCAGTCTCTACACCCTCAAGCACTACCAGTTCCACGGTAGTCTTCCGGGCTATGACAAGCAGAAGATCGCCGGCGACAACATCGACCCCGATAAGGCTGCTTTCTCTATGGCCCCTCACGACGAGGAGGCTTACGCCCCTGTCAACATGGACGACCACGCCGACGACCACCCCACCGCCGGCGCCGGTAGCAACTTTGGCAGCTACGGTGACCGCTACGGAAGCAACTCCGCCTACGGAGGTGTCAACTACGGCCCCGAGGACGACGACCCGAACCGCTACGGCTCTCTCCCCTCGCGCCAGAACGCCGCCATGTTTGACAGCGAGACCGAGTACCACTCCCAGCAACCGCACCCGCACCCTACCGCCTCGCCTGCAAATGACCCCTACTCCTCGTCTACTATCCAGCCCTACACTGCCGCGCCCGCCTATGATGACGACAGGCCCGCTCAGTTCCCTGCTGCTAACTATGACCGCACCTTGAGGTAAACGTCTCCCCAGTGGGGAACGAGTTGAGTTGAGACACAGCGGCAGGGCCATGGCCTGCCAAATTGTTCGGGGACCGAGTCCCGTGTTCACATAGACAGCTTGGGTTTTTCTTTTGGCTTCGGCTTAGGGGGTGTTGTTGGCGTCCCATTGTAACGGTATTCACACAGACGATACCAGGCATGAACTAGGTAGACATCAGTTTGATGGCATGACGATACATTTATAAATGGTCCTTTTCGTGTACCAAGTGAAGTGATTATTGCAGCTTTTGGTTTTGGTGAAAACGCCGTAACTCCAGGGAATATCTTCCAGGCTTCCCCGCCATGCTACAACCCCTTTAGACGCTTTTTTTTCGATTAAGCCTTTCCGTGAAATCTCCTCAGCCTGCGAGCGATATCCGCCGAGGTCTGCTGCATCGGGTTCAGCTTCCGGTCCCTCGCCATGGCCTCCGCATTGTCGCCGTGCTTCGCAATCAACCTCTCCAACCACTCCTTCTCCTGCTGGCTCATGTGCCTCGGCTTCTTCAGCTCTCCCCTCGACGCCTCCTTCTCCAGCAGACGAATGACCTCCGGACGGCTCTCGTCGTCGATGCCGCCCCACTCTTCAGTTTCCTCCTCCTCTTCCCCCTCGTCAGAGTCCGCCTCGATGTCGTTCAGCGGGTCGTTGAGCGGGTTCGCGCGGCTGGACTTGGAGTAGTGTATCCTGACGATCTTGCCGTTCTCGTCGCGCTCGACGCGCGCCTCGTCGACGACGGCCTGCTCCATCGGGGCGATGTCGAAGGGGCTCGGCGCGGGCTTGGCGGACTTGAGGCGCTCGACCTGGGAGAGCGTCTTCTCGACGCCGCCTGTCGGGTTACGCAGGCGGGCTGTGAGGCCTAGGCGGCGGTAGTTTTGCGTGAGGGTTTCCTTCTTGTTCCTGGAAGAAGCATGTTTCGTTAGCTGTGCATGCGCGGGCTAGGAGAAGATTGGGGGGGGACAAACCAGTTCTTTGCGATGATGTCGTTGCCGAGGGGGTTGAGGAGTTTCTTGGGCCTGTTGGGCTGCCTGGTCTTTTGGCCGGCGCGGCGCTTCTTCTTTTGGAGGTCTCGGCCCATTTTGCTGGAGGTTGTGCGGCAGGTGCGGTGTGGTGATGGGTTTACTTGGAGGCGATGGCTATTGGCATTGAGGTTTTGGCTTGGGAGTTGACCTTGAATTTTTTGAGATGCTTATCTTATCTGGTGGGCACTAGTCCTGCTGTGGACTAGCTTGTCATGGTACACCGAAGCTGACCGAGAATGGCTCGGTGAGCAGCTTGCACCCCCAGCGTACTCTTCTAAAACATGTTGAAAAGGCATGGACAAATCGTAGAGAACGATGTTTCTTTAAAAACTTGTATCGATACCGAGGCATAGCAGCACTTCATACAAGTTTGTTTCACTTTGCACATGAGGCTACCCTTCTATGGTGACGATTTCAGAACCGCATGTCATCGTCACACAACTTACACTACTCCATTACTGGGCTTCAGTTTAGAATTTTCCCTCTTTGGAGTTACGTATCTGATATGGAAGCGTATGAATCAAACGCATATAGGTCTAGCTTTGACATCAGATACGTAATTCCAGAGAGGGTAAGGTAAAAATGTTTGTATTGTTGACAGTCTATGAACAACGTCAAATGGCAGCTTGGATGGACCTCCTTGTATCCCACCACTTCCCGACCATGTCCGCGTAAAATTGCTGGTACGGCCCCGCGTCCTCCTCCATCGCGACCCTCCCCTCGTCAAAGTGCCACGGCTTGTCCTTGCCGATGAAGTGCAAAATCTTGTGCTCGTCGCGGTACCGCAGCGCCGCGGGGATGTAGAAGCGGTAGACCTTGTGCATCTCCATGTTGTACGTGAAGCTCAGCCGGTACCAGTTCCTCTCCTCCTCCGCGCCGACTCCATCTTCCACATCCTTTCCCGCCCCGCATTCGGACTTCTTCAGCAGCAGCGTCGACGGGTGGTTCCGCGTGCCATCACCAAAAAAGACGTTGAGCAGGCCCTGGTCGCCGCCGTCGAAGGAATCAACGTGCGTCGCGAAGGCCGTGAGCTCGGCAAATGTGGCCATGTCCGGGCGGAGGAGCATGACGCCGCTGTTGAAGCAGTCGGGGAACCCGATCTCCGGGGCGGCGGCGAAGGGGATGTCGAGCGGCAGGGAGAAGAGGTGGTCGAGGTTGGACATGACGAGGGTGTCGGCGTCGAGGTAGAGGACGCGGGTGAACTGCGTCAGGGACCAAAGCTGGACCTTGGTCATGGTGGCGTGCAGGTCGGGCCGGCCGATGAGGGAGAGGTTGTCCTTTGTGAGGGCCGTGACGGTGGTGACGGGGATGACGAGGTCGAAGACGGACTGGAGCTGGGAGATTGCTTTGGTGGACATTGTGGAGGGGGTTACGAGGACGCAGAGGGGGAGGGGGGTTGATGTTTTTCGGAGGGACTGGGCGAGGACGGCAGCGGCTTGTGGTGGTTAGTTTGGGGACGATGGGAGGGGAGTTGGGATAAGCGTACCGACGACGTAGCCATCGTTTGTTACCAGCTTTGGTGTGTTAGTTACTGGATGTCTGTGAGAGAGGGGTGTGATGCTTACCGTGCAGTACGCGGTGTCGTATGAAGGGATCTGGAGGCTTCCCATTATGCTGGACTAGGTGTTGATATTATCTACGCTCTGATAACAATAAGACTAAAACAGTGGTCTAAAGATGCTGTTCTCTACCAACCAATTTCTGGGTCTTTAGAAGCAAGCAGCTGGGGCAAGCTATATAGATAGCTTCGAGACGCAAACAAGCTCAAAGCATGTCCCTCTATCTCACCACTCAACGCCAGGGGTACCTCGAATACCCTACCGGCTCTAAGCCCAGTTCAGGATCATCAATCTAGGTGTGATGCTGCATCAACCCTGTCAGATATTTGGAACGGTGGGTGTAAGCCATGTGTGCCCGCTAGCTCATCTACAGGTCTGCCAGCAACACAAGTTACTGCATAGTATGCAGCCTCCAGACCATCTACCACATGTTATGGTGTACTTTCGAGCTATGTTCCTGGGATTAGAAGACTTGATTGCAAACGAGGCATTCCATGTCTCTGCCGTACGCCACTCAGCACGGGATGTCAAATAGTCACCCATGCCGCACGTCGGCCGCCAGCAAGGAACCAACCAGAGTTCTCTACGCCGTAGCTCTCGCCCAAGCGTGAGGAGATAAGTTTGAAACCTTGCTTCGGTCGTCCTCAGAGATCTACGCGCGCCCTGCTACCCAGGAGGCACGATGGTAGTTTTCAGATAGGGGGGCGTTGTCAAAAGGACCCCAGGGTTGGACATTGACAATTGTCGGCGTCGTGATTGGATGAGATCGCCGAGTCACAAAATCAAACAATAAACGATGCTCCTCGGGAAACGTTGTCGCCCCGTCCGGACTCTTCCTTGGTAGGGCCCTCCTTGTCTACTTTTAGATGTAGACGCGCGGGGTCGAATGTTAGAGACCAGACTGCAGATGAAGCTTTCTTGGGCCGGCCGTCGAAACTTTGGGGGTTCGGCACGGATGGTTCGGTGTCGAAACGATGCTGGCGGGGGTCGCGGTCAAATCTTTCAGCAGGTAGAGATGGGATGATTGCGCAGCCTCCACCTCGAGGCAACAGTAAGTCGGAACCCATACTTTGGGTTTCTGATGTCCAAGCTTCTTGTTGGATAGGGCATGGTGTCAGGCAGCCTTACGGCGCTTGTCAATGGATCAATTGCACAGCGGATGGCTGATTCACTATGCCATGCCCAGAAGATGTGAGTTTGACAAGAACGATGCCACGGGCAAGCCACCGTCGTCACTGGCAAAAATCCTTCCACGAGCTGTGAACGGTACCTTTGCAAGTGGCCATGGTCACAAGCGTATTCGTCAATGAAGGATGGCCCAGAGGCTAAGCCACACGAGTGAGATTTCCTCGCAGGCTGAGCAACTTTCTTTCGCATCTGCTGGCCCACTAGGCTCAATGAGGAGATAGGAAGTCAATTGAAGTTTGAGACGGGCGGATTTTGGGGTAATGTAACCCCTCAATCAGGGAGACGGGTTGCTTAACGGGAAGAGCGCACGAGCAGGAAACCGCCTGTCCGGTTTCTGGGTAATTCGACATCCATCTTGGTGGTTGTTGATCTCTTGGTCTAGATCCATGTTAACCATAGCGTCTTGGTCAAGCTAGCCAATTTGTATGGGAATACTGTTATCTAACCGCCATATCTAAACACCAGATGTTGTGACTGGGTTTTAGGGTGTTCTATCGAGGACCCGAGGTACTTCGGGCGGCAGACCTCCCCGAGACCGTTTGTGAGGTAGACTTTAGGTTGGCATGCAGCTTGCTCCGCGGGTGCCTATGCCGAGATTATGTGTGAGACTGGCGGCCGTTGACGATCACGTGAGGGCACTTACATGCTCCGAGTGCCAGGAATGGATTGGGTTTTCACCGATAACACCATCAAGGTGTCCTAGATAGTATCCTTGACCTTCGGGTGTTAGTCCTTTTATTTGTGGATAAAGGCATGTGCGAACCAGTGACTTGCTCACCCTAGTATTTGACATTTGGCTGAGAAAAGCACGTTCGTTCTCTCTACAAAATCCATACTTAGCCTGTGGACGTACCCTAACTGTCTTTCGATACTGCAGTCAGCTTCGGACAGCCAAGTCATAGTTGGGAGAAACTTGATAATCCCAGTCACGGAGAATTTCTCTGATCATCATTTAAATTTTATTGAACCGCAAAGCAGATGGTATATAAATCCCTATGCACATATCCACAAATCATCACTCATCATAAAACTCACTTACACCAGCTTCCACACACCGTCGTTGATCTCAATCTTGATATCACGGTTCTCGTCTATGCTCTTTCTGCCGGCGTGCAGAATGGCAGTGGTAGCAATGGTGTTCTTCAGGGTGGGCAGACCCTTGGCGTCCAGGTCCTTGGGCTTCAGCTGGCCAGAGTTGACTTGCCTGCAGCCGTCGACGAACTTCTCGAGGGAGATATATCCGTAGCCAGTCTGGCCGTTAAAGTTGCCGTCCTCGTCGGGGGCGTAGCGCATGTAGAAGGGGTTGTACCACATCAGCTGGCCGGCGGAATCCTCAGCGACGTCGTAGCCTCTCTTGGCCTGGTCGACACGGATCTCGCCATTCGCGGCGAGGTAGTGGAAGTACTGGTTTGAGTGGACACCGGCGCGCTGCGGTGCGGTCCAGCTGGCGGTGTAGACACCAGTAGCCTTCTTGCTGGGGTCGCCCTTCTTTTCCCAGTGAACGAGGACGGAGATGGTGTCCTCGGTGGCAGGGTCGCAGCCGAGATCGGTGGCAATACCCTTAGAGCCAGAGGCGGAGACCTTGACGGGAATGAAGCCTTGCTGGGTGACCATGGACTCGCAAATGTCGACGTGGTGGCTGTTGAGGTAGTAGGAGATGTCGGAATCAACTCCGGCCCAGGCCTTGAAAGTCTCGAGCTGAGACTTGGGCTGAGACATGTAAGAGTAGAAGTAGTTGAAGTCGCCGAGCTTCTGGGCCTTGAAGCGAGCGTCAGAGTAAGCAGGGTCGAAACGCTTGTGGTGCTCGATAAAGACGTAGACGCCCTTCTTCTCGGCGGCCTCAATGAGAGCCTGGTGGTGCTCGAGCTCCTTGACAGCGGGCTTGGTGAGCAGGACGTGGATGCCGCGCTCAATGGCGTAGAGGGCGATGGGGTAGTGAGTGGTATCGGGTGTGAAGATGGTGATGGCGTCACCGGGCTTCAGGGCGTCAATGGCGGTCTTGTAGGAGTCGGGGTCCTTCTTGTCGTTGGCAGGGAATGAGTCGAAGGAGGTATCGAGGCCGTTATAGACCTGGGTGATGTTCTTGTTGAGATGCTCCCCTGCATCTGGTTAATTACTGACGGCCGTGGACACTGTGGATTTGACGTACTGATGGCAGGGAACTTGGTTCCGTTAACGCCAACCATGCCCAGCTGGTTGACCTTGCCTCGCCTCCTCAGGTCGAAGAGAGTGAGACCGACGACACCAACCTTCTTGTCGGAGCCAGAGGCACCGCCGCCGACGAAGCCGGTGGTGTACTCGCCGGTACCGACCTGGAAAACGTCAGCTTTAGGTGCTTCGGATGGCCAGAAGCATAGCACGTACCATCAATACGTTGAGGGGCTCCATTTTGGTCGTTTGTCAGGTTTCAATGGCTATAAGCGTTGTATGAGGAGGGAAGGGAAGTTTGGGGATGGGGAAGACGAGATCCTAAAGCTGGAGAGCAAGCGTGGGCTACGGTCTATTTAAGGGAACTATTTCCTAGGCCAAGCACAGCGTGAGCTCGGGCGATCCACGAAGGAAAAAGTACGCGACAGACGTGACGATGGGCAGCGGCAAGCGGGCCAGGGATGTTTTGGATGAAGCTCGCCCCAAAGGCTCCAGTCTCCAGCCGTCCTCAAAGGTGGCTCCCGTCTGGTAAGGACGAGGTAGGTAGCTCCTCCATGTCAAGGACCCGGAAAAATTGAGGGGCAGGAGGGGAAAAGACAATTGGAGGGATTTATCTGCCCCGCACGCCGCCGTGCGCCAGCTTCCCAGTCCCCGACTGCTCTGATACCTTTCCGTGAGATTTCCGTAGAGTATCCGTAGGCGCGTATCGTTAGACGATTTTGCCGATTTGACGTTTGTCTCGGCGCTGCGCAGTTGTGCAGATGTGGCCTGGAAGACACATAGTGGTATGTAAAGCACTGAAGGATGCCAGGGCGTTGCATTCATTCTTCATCACCAGTGACCAAACTGTCAGGGATACGACCAGGCGCAACGCTGGACCAGTGGATGTATTCGATGATAGCTGGGAAACGCTGTGTAGCTAATAACTGGGGACTTGGTGCCGCTCCCGAATGATCAATACCGAGCACGCCCGAAGTCGTCGCATCGTAACCAGGCGCCGGTTCACGGAGCCCCCAACAGCTGGCGCATGGAGGTTAACGCCAAGCCCACGCCAGTTCGCCAACTCGTGGCATGGCTCGGAATGTTTTGAACCTGTGTCTGCGAAGTCTTTTTCTTGTGTGTGCACTTGGTATCCTTGGAAATGACATCCCACAAAGGTCTGCAGCGCGCTTCTTTGCGGCGAGGCGCTGAAGATGATGAGACTTGGAGGGGCAGAGTAGAAGGAGGGGTGAGGGGAAGGAGGAGGGGGAGGGGCTTCTCCAACTCTCCAGTGGGGCTGAAATGGGGCTCGGATTCCCTGCTGTCGAGCTACGCAGTGGCTGGAACCAATGGAGAATTATGCCGGTTTTACTCATTGAGGCGAGTGAGAAAAAGAACTGTGTCCTGTTGGAGCAACTCACGCCGGTAATGCCCTCAACGAGGTTCGCTTTAAGCTGAAGCCTTCAGAACATCAACATAGAGTCCCTCAACGGCCGAAGAAGAATATTCTCAGTATTAGCAGTAACAAGCAATTCCTTGGAATGATTCGGAAGCGAGCCCTCGTTTGAAGTTACACCAATTGGCAATCGATACAAGTCAGCAGATTGGAAAAGTGAAGCCCGTGTCCAGAGAAAAAGGTAGCTCATTCGGAGCCCAAATGATGCAGCGGTCACGGTTGCTACGGCCAATTCCCCGCCCCCACGTACAGTCTCCACCCCATTTGCCCCGCAATGCCTCGTGACATGGATGCCCGCTGTCGTGGAACGGTGTGTCCCTCGAACGTCTTCCGGAGTGCGCTAAAACACGAAGTTGGCCAAGGATATGTGTCTTCCACTGTGAAATATGTGTAGGCCAGGCACCTAGTAAACAGGGCATCGGACTCAGGACGGTTGAAGACGGCAGAGTCAGTTGAGGCCGCCTTTCTGCGATTGACCGCTGCAAAGTTGTTGCATCAACTGTCTCGAGTGTTTGCGAGCCAATGTTACTTCTACAATGGTCTTCTATATTTGGTAATCAGTAAAAGAAACATCTCATACCTTTTCGTTGCAGTTAATAACGCCTTTTTCGGCTAAAAGCGACCACCCGCAGGTTTCCGTGCGTGAGATTGTGTTTCAGTACCTGGAGGCATCACTGAGAATCCTCAGGGCCTCACTTACACACCTAGTCCAGTACCTGAGGTGCTATGAGCGTCAAGAACCGGTAGAGAAGGCCAAAGTACCTGCAAATTTTGGTGTTCCGGGGAGATTTTACAAGACAGTCCCTTCAAGCCGCTAAGAGAGTACTTGGTGCAAATGTCGTCTGCGGATATCTTCCCGTCAGGACAGGTCAAGGCTTGTCATGGCTAGCTTGATGCCCCTCGTGCCCCTCCATTCCTACTCTCCAACCGGTGCCCCGGACTAATGCGCCAGACCCCACTTGCCTTGCCAGAAAATTAAGCGTTGCTCTCATTGGCGGAATATCTTCCTCGCAATTTCTCCGTCCAATAAGAGCATCTCCATTTTCCATCACGTCCAACCTCTCCTCCAACAGCAGACCACTCACCACCGCGATTTCGTCCGACTTCGACACCTTTCCAGCGGAACTGCAGTTGTCCAAAATCTCAAGCAGTCCTCCGAACATGCGCCGTCTATACTACTTGCTCAACAATCGTAGCCCATTCTGACTTTGTCCGCCGGCTACCAGCCATCAACGTCACTGAGCCGGTCTGCAATCCGGCCCGGTCAGTTGCGGCACAGGAACATGGACCAAAGGGACTCGCTCTGCTTACTTCTCTGTCCATTGTAAGCTTAACATATGTTTTGCTGACCGCAGAAGTGTATTGATCAACTGTATCTCTTATTGCTTTGGTGGCTCGGCAGCCCTGCAACTCACCGCAGCGAAGTCGGGTTCCGCGTCAACCAACTCGCGGGTGGTTTCTCATTAACAGATCAAGACCTGTGACGAACAAAATTTCCAGTTATGCACCTCAGGCGAGCAACACCGAGACGCAGCAGCCAATGGCCGGGAGATGGCCAGGCACCTCCGTCTTGCAGCTTGCATGTCCCACTCCACGCTAATGTCCAGGCCGGGCCCGACAAGCCTTGAGATGTGTGGCAATACGGCTTCTCTTCCAATGGCAACCTCGTCTTCATTTACCGTTTCCCTTCGCTTCCAACGCAGCATTTCTAAATGGACCATCAGCCCGGACTTGCGACGGGCTGCCTCAGCGCAGATCTCGCCGCGCCGGCCAGGAAACATCTGCCTCTATTGGCGCAAACCACATCGATGCGCGGTGCAGAATCTGAATATATCTTTTCCAGCAGATCCCACGGCAAACACAGGGCCACAGATACAGCCAGATGCATCGTCGCTACCGTCTATTACCGGGGCCCACGGACCATGGACGTGGGTATCTGGCCTTAGCTTGGACCAGCCCGGGGTATTTGAGGGGATCGAGGAAGTCCCTTGTTGTCTCGGATGCTGCTCGTCTTGTGACGGCTTTCCTCCAAGACCAAGAAGCCCCCGCGATTTGCGACATCCCTAGGGAATTCCCCGGATGTCACAGCGTCAAGTGTTGGCCAGTGCTATTGGCTTTGTGCAGTAGGAGAAGGGAAGGCCCTTTGAAAGCTAACTTGAGTCTGCCGGTTTCCGTGTCGACAATCTGCCATGTTACACCCAAGGCCGGGGTACATCTGCGTTGTCCGAAGCCCTTTGGGTCGCTTAGATGCTGACTACAATCCCAATGTTCAACATCACAATTCGGGAACATCAACGCTTCGGCGATGGATTTCCAGACTGCCCCTCCACCCCCAATCTCCATCTTTCTTAGCGTCCTGCTCCTCAAGTTTCCGATCCACGTCCCCCCCTTCCCCCAACCGGGGTGCAAGGGAGCACCCATCCCAGGATGGCCGGCCCCGTAGTACATGCTGTTAGCTCCTCCGGTCTTGGCCTCGACTCAACACGATGTTCGATAGTTCGGGCCAATGTCCACACGAGCAGTCCCTCGCGACACGTCAAATATTTATTTCCAGACTTATCCCACCCCACGCAGGCAGACGCCTGCAAGCCTATTAGCTCATGACAAACCTTCCTCGCCGCCTCTTTTTCTCCTCTCGTATAAATATACCTTCCGCCTCCTCCCACTGCTTCTCCTGTCCTTTCACCCCTCATTACCCCTCCAAGCTTATCCTGCCTGCCTTGCACTCCTGGCCAGTCTCTCACCACCTCTCCTTTCACCACACACATTCTCAGCCCATCATGACTGCTTCCAATGGAAACGCCGCCCGCCGCGGCCTCCCCGTCGGCATCTACGCCCCCACCATGACCTTCTTCAACCCCGAGACGGAAGATATCGATATCCCTACCATCAAGAAGCACGCTGAGCGTCTGGCCAAGGCCGGTCTCGCCGGTCTGGTTGTTATGGGCTCCAACGGCGAGGCTGTCCACTGCACACGAGAGGAGAAGGTTGCCGTCACAAAGGCCACCCGTGAGGCTCTCGACGCCGCCGGCTTCCAGAACGTCCCCGTCCTGATCGGTGCCACCGAGAGCAGTGTTCGCGGCACTATTGAGCTCTCCAAGGCCTGCGCTGAGGCTGGTGCCGAGGCCTCCCTCATCCTTCCCCCTTCATACTACCGCGCCCAGGTCGACGAGACCACCATCTACGACTACTTCGTCGCCGTCGCCGACCAGAGCCCTATCCCTCTCGTCCTCTACAACTACCCCGGCGCCGTCTCCGGCATCGACATGGACAGCGACCTCCTCATCAAGCTCGCCCAGCACCCCAACATCATCGGCACCAAGTTCACGTGCGGTAACACTGGCAAGCTCACCCGTGTCGCACTGGCTACCGACGCGAAGACTCCCTGGTCTGAGGGCTCTGGCTACATGGCCTTTGGTGGCATGTGTGACTTCACTGCCCAGACCCTTGCCAGCGGCGGCAGCGGCATCATTGCCGGCGGTGCCAACGTCATGCCCAAGGTCTGCGTCAAGGTGTGGAACCTGTACGCCGAGGGCAAGCGTGACGAGGCCATTGAGCTCCAGAAGAAGCTCTCCCGTGGCGATTGGTTCCTGACCAAGGCTGCCATTGCCGGCACCAAGGGCGCCATTCAGAGCTATTTTGGCTACGGTGGATACCCCAGACGTCCCCTCAGACGCCTCGAGCAGGCCAGGACTACGTCAATTGAGGAGGGTATCCGTGAGGTCATGGAGATTGAGAAGTCCCTTTAGACGATGAACTTTCTTAATGTTCTCATGATATTTTACACGCAAAAAAACATAAGTGC